TCATTCCTTTGATATATTTTTATTCGTGCCAATTCATTTTATTTATATACGTTTTCCATGATAAAACGATATTTCAACAAATAACACATCGCGCAAAAATTTATCGCAGTGATGTTTATAACAACATTATTGTTATTTATTGTAAAATATTTTCTTTTAATACGGTAATGGAAATTGTAATTTTACGCATAATGGTGCAGAAAACGAAAAAAGAAGAGTTCCTAATCAATTAATGCATCTTTACATTTGTAGGAATGAATGTGTTATAAAGCAACAATGACTTGCTGAGCTTGCAAAGCTCACAAGATTTGCATTCTTGACTGGTCGCAAAAAGTTACGTAAAATCCATTTGGTGATTGATTTTGCGTTTCTGCTTCTCTATAAATACGAATAAATTTATCTATAAATAAAAAAGTCACTGAAGCGGACTTTTTTGTAAATATGTTTATCTATGTATAGCAGCAAACGTAGAGAATTTCGACGAATTGACATCGGGATTAAATCAAGGTATTCATTTAGGAATTCACATTGATGAATTTTCGGGATCTATTTAATAATTCATGTATACAAAAACGTTATTCAAAAGGCGGAAAATTATGAGCGGAATGAATGAAGGAATGTATTTCAATTTAGATGCGGGAAAGGCAAGATGCATACAATTCATTAAATCTTTTCGGGTAGCATGCTTAAGAAATCTTGGCTGCGAGAGGTTTTCTGGTTATCGGAATATTTTCATCTGCAATATCAATCCGCGCATTCAAGAGGTCACGTATGTTTCGCTGCAGCTTCATATCAAGGGAAACCAAGAATACATATTAAAATCCATGCAAGATATTTGCGCTTTAGAGGAAGCAGAAAGCATTTGGGAAAAGAATTAGTTATACACTTTCGGGAAAAAACATGGCTATAAATGTAAAGATTACAAATATTAAAAAAAAAGGCGTTTACAACGATGAGATCGATAAGACGCACGAAATCGTTCTTCGCGACAAAGTAAAAGCCACACAGCAAACACGCTGTCGCTTATTAGAGATAATTGCGACTCCGTTGTAAATAGTAGCTTACACTCGGCTGCGCGTCGTTGCATCGTTGCGGAGCTGCTAAACTAATCGCATTAAAAGACAACGCAGAGCGAGAACTAGCTCCTTCTTGAACGTGTACCGTCCAACTCTCTTTCTATCTCCTCGCGTACTTTCCCTAACAAATGCAGATACTTCGGAGGATGTTGTAAACTTTGCAAAACGTTTTATAAGTGCTCCGTGTTACGGACGTAGTCTATGTCAGAAGCAGGGCCTAGAATTAATGACTAGATTTTGCCGTAGCCTAATTTCACTTTGATGTTACCTCCGAACTTTGATACAGTTTCCCTGTTTCATTAGCAAATACGTAATAGAGGCAAATACGTAAAATAACTTACGCACGCGAGAATCGTCATCTACTCCATTTGGATTACGGGCGGACGAGTTCGCGGAAAAACATTAAGCCATATTTTTTTGTCGGTTCTTTAATTCTACCGCGTCGCCGATGGAGCAAACTAATCGCATTAAAAGCAGCGACGGCGATTATCTTCTCCGCAGCGTTAAATCTCCCGCTACATAATCTCTGTCATTTAGCATTATTTTAAACCTCGGTGGAATACGGTACGGATTTCACGAAATATTTCGCAATTTTACCAGTCTGTTTTGATCAATTATCCTCCGCGAAGAAATATCGACTGTGGAGTCTGCCTTTGAAGGAGAACGTCTGATTTTTTTTCCCCCCCTCGAGTATTCTATACAACGAGACCTTATTCTTATGCAAGACGAAGTGTATTATTTCCTTAACAGTCAAGCTTCGTGAAATAAAGATAAGCGGGCAACAGTGAAGAAGACAAATCGCGCTTTCCACTTGCCGTTGCTAATAGTCTAAGAAGCGCCAATCTAATCGCATTAAAAGATTAAAGCACGATAATTGTGATCGCCTGCCTTCCGTTCCAGTCGCATGGCACTCGTCGTTCTTCCATTTGTCACCGGTCAGAAAAATCCAACGTCGCAATAGCATCGGTCGGGAAGGGCCTCGTGTCGTATCTCCGGTTGGATGGATGGGAAAAGAGGACGCGTGAGAGAGCAAGAAATCGTGGAACAAGATTGTCAGATCCATAATGTTAAGTACAGTGGAAAGTAGTGGAGTAAAAAAGGATGGTAGGACACGCCTTAACTTATGTTCGCGTGTCACCTTTTCATCAGGACCTTTTTTCCCAAAGAAAAGTATTAAAAGGATGAGAAGCGCACCTTCGCGATTAAGCAATAAAGAAAAATAAATGTGAGACAAAAATATGTTAAAAAGTGAAAATAACGAGAATTTTGTAATGTAATAAAACGATAATAATATTTTTCATTTATAAAATAAACATCACGGATATGCAAATCTATGACAATAATACGAAATATCGAGCTTTTTCATTTGCATTGTATTATCATGGAAACTTAAATCTTCATCTAATTATGTTTAAATAAGGTGCTCAAAACCACCGTGATTGCTATTTTATCGCAAAAACCCTTTTCAAAAGACTCCAAATCTCAGTTTTTTGTGACGGTTTGATCAATGGTCACGTAAATGAAAAAGAAAATTGGTTTCTTATCAGTATTTGGAAAACCGCTCTTATCTTCTCTTATACCGAAGATAAGTCTATCGAATAAAGTCGTGACGATCGTTTTAAATTTAACTGTACACGTGAAAGATGCAATGTACTTGGCAACACTAAAATTGCAACATGACACGTTGAGAGTTCTTTATGACAGGTCAATCTTTCCAGCCGGGAATAAAATTTTAAATTCCCTTCTGCCCTACGTCGCGTCACTTATAAATCCAACCGATCCTTAAACGACACACCTCAACCCCAGTAAGTCGACGAGTATTCAAGATCTCCGCTCGTCGCTTGCCGTCGCATCTTCGTGACGGACTCGATTTTCGTGCACGTAATAACCACTTCCATCGTCACGATATGCCGCTTCATTCAAATAGCAGGCGGAGAGCACCGTGCACTCGGGCCCGTGATCGAGTTTACACTTTTCCTTTCCCTGGTACCTCTATCACCCCCCGTCAATTTTAATATAATTACTTTTCATACAATTAACGTTGCCCAACTTGAGTAGATAAACTCTAGAGTTGCGCGTAATGGCTCGTCATTATGAAAGTTACACGATTTAACGAGGAAAGTACGCAACTCATTCACCGTTATTAAACTTGAATCCGGCGTGTGTTTTGTGCGTGCTAAAAACAGGGAGCGCGCAGTGCGTATACTCGCATTTGCAAAACACTTCGCAATCCATCGTAGCGAACAAGTTTTGTAACTACGCGCCGTAGAAATGTATGGCTCAATTATGTCCGGTAATTAGTTCCCTTGGAAGTTTAAGGGCGCATTCAATCATGCGCCGGCGTGCGCAATTATAATAGCGCGAAAGCACTTTTTACTCTTCCCTAGATTTATACGTTTTCCGCCGGTGCAAAAGAAACTAATAAATGACAGAGGCGCCGCTAATATTTTTCTCTAAAGATTTATAGCAAACATTCGCGCCGTATTACAATTGTAAAGTAGTCCTAATAAAATCAGTTTTTTTTTATATGTTTCGATACTTTTTTTTTTCGATACTAATATAATATATCTTCGATGTAATACAAAGTCTCAAACACGCGCGTATTCTTTTTACCGCCTTCAATTTCTAAAAACATCGCGCAGGTATGTTAACTGAATGACAAGCGTCTAATTCACGCAAATGAAAAGAACGACGTGAATTTCAGAGTGAGTTCAGTAGACCGAACTATCGAGCATAGAAATTCAACGCCACAACGTCGTTTTGTGAAGATCAGCGTGAATGGGATTCAAAGTGCTGAGGATAACGGTGGGTTTCGCTGCTGCATAAAAGACGTCGTCCGTTCGAGCTTTCCCGCGTCTTACTTTCTTCCTCGTCGCGTGTCCGCGACAGGATACGTTGTGAAAATATTCGGATTGGAAATTGGTTATACATCGGGGACCCTGTCTTTTAGACTACTCGCCCGCTCAGTAATATACGCGGATAAAGAGGATTTGAAAGGTACAAAATCTATCGTGAATTCTAGTACCGCACTTTTTCTTACGGTCTCTCCGGGAGAGCTTACGGTTGCTTAATGGCTCATCTTTTATATAACGGCTAGCCCGTTATGCTGCCACTCTTTTTTACGCCCGAGCAAATTCATCAAGGCGCTTTAAACACATTCCATCAATCCATATTTATCGAAGTATTGCGAACCGCGATCATGTAGACTAAATTATCCGTAAACTAAAAAAAGACAAAGAATCACCGTGTAAAAAATATAAAATGAAATTTTGCCAACATATAAAAAAAAGTGAGATAAATAAATTTATAGTAATGATCGAGAAACATAATTTGATCGATTTTGATCGAATTACGGAAGAAAAATTAATTTGAAAAGTTAAGCACTGCGTAAATGTGGGAAATTTCTTAAATTCGTTTCATTTATAATTTCACTCCGGGAAAAGAGCTTTCTGCTGAACTTCTGCCGAGTTTACTCATTTCTTACTACTGTACAACGCAGAAAGATTCTGATTGCCTAAAGTAATTGAATCCGTCGACGCTGATCTCTTCTCGCTCTAATAATCCTTCGTTTACAACGGCTTAATATCGAAGGGAGGCAAATAAATGATTAAGACTGTAAGTGACGTCTGTCCACCATCACCGAAGTGTAACGCCTCAATTTTCCGATTCATTAGGAGAACGTAATCCGATATACCGGTATAATTCAATTTTCTATGTCCGATGGCCGTAACGCTTGACAGCGCTTCATGTATAATTTGGCATTATTACGCAATTAAGCTTTTTGTACGCGACTGCTTCTCCAATAGCCTTATTGTCTATTCGCATTGAGTAATCCGAATCAAGATAATGCTTAACATTTGGGGCATAATTGCGACAATCAATAAGCGAGAATGTTCTCTCGCGTTTCGTAAAATTCCGACATACCTTGCACTTGGGAAATTCTTCGGCCGGAGTGGGTCTCTTCCATCCGAGAAGCGGCGGTATGCAAACGAGCGCCGAGAATAGCCAGACGAGGGCAATCATGACCGCCGCTCTAGCCGGTGTTCTCTTCTTCAGGTAGTCGACCGCCTGTGTGATGCTCCAAAACCTGTCCAGACTGATCAAACACAGATTCATGATGCTGGCCGTGCACAGCAGCACGTCCATGGCGGAGTAAATGTCGCACCACCAGTAGCCGAAGATCCAGTAGCCCATGATCTCGTTGGCGAGCGAGAACGGCATGATGACGAGGCCGAGGAAGAAGTCCGCTACCGCGAGGCTGGCTATGAACCAATTCTGTATGTTCTTGAGCGCCTTTTCCGTGGCGATGGCGATTATCACGAGCATGTTGCCGACGACGATGACGATCATGAGCAGCGTCGCCAGGATCGACGCGAGCACGATGTGCGGCAGGGTGTATCCCGACGGGTAGAGGCCCTGCACGAAGTAGGTTTCGTTGTTGTACAGACTGACGTTCCAGGGATGGCGGAGACTCGAGTTGTACGAGTCGTTGAACGCGTTGATCACGTCCTCCATCGTGTCTCCGAAACCGAAGAGCAACAGACCCTTCCCGTACTCGATCGCGACTCCTTCCTCCGTGCTATTCGATACACCTGTACTCACACTTACACTACCGGTAGTGCTGCCTACGCCGTCGACACTTTCTTCACCGCCTCCGCCACCCCCGCTACCTATCCCTGCCACGCTTTCCTCGCCAGTAAATGTAGTTTCCCCACTCTTTGTCGCGCCTACGGTGTTCCCGCCGCAAACTCGAGTTTCTGAAGTCTGGCCGCAACGGCGGGACGCTTCCTTCCCAGCTGCCGCGCCGTCGCCCCCTTTCCCTGCCGCGGTGTCACGCTCGCCACTCTCGATGTGTCTTTCGTTGTTCCTAGCGCCGCTCCCGCTCGGCGGTCCTCTCTCGGCACCCCCGCTAAGGAGGAGGCGGCCGTCACGATCGCTGGTAGTAGCTGCCTGACGCCACTCACCGTTCGAGATCGCACGTGTCGAGTGGGCCTCGTTACTCGAAAACGTAGAGCCGCCACTAATCGGTCGAGACCACGTCATGTTCCCCTCGAAGACGCTCGTGGACGCCGTTGTCGGATTATCGACGGCGATGGTCATAATGCTGCCGAGAAGCGGCATCACTCGCACCCTCGCCGGGGACTGTAGATGCTATCTCGGTAAGGACGAAGCAGAGGTCGTGGCCGCGCGCGAATAGCAACGTGCCCCGGGTGCCAGCTCGAGTAGCAGCAACAACAGGAGGGTGGTGGTCTCGTCGCATCTCGAGGCCAAGGGCGTCATGCCCGTTTCAGGATAATGCCATCGTTGTCGAATACGCAAATGCCTCGACACGCGCTCTTCCTCGTTTTCTCGGCTCGTTCTCGGCGTGGAAGCCGTTGTCTCACGCTCGGGATCACGTTCTTCCGGATCGAGCGACAACTGTTTGGCCAAGTCCAACTTCGTTCGATCGAGCTTTGTTCCCGCTTTGCACCTAATTAGATATCTCGAGGCGACAACGCTTGAACGCACGAGTAGTGATCAACGCTTGATCGATCAAGTACTTTTCGAGCACTCTAAGAGTCTCCTCGCGCGCGCCCCTCGTGTTAAAAGTCTCGCGGTGTTGTAATTCCGAAATTCACACGTGACACACTCTCGCGCTATATTATTCTCGCTTAGCGTCGTGCTAACGAGGTGCGAGTGAAGTTCGCCTTTCGGCAATCGGTAAACCGGATTTTTTTTTCTTTTTTTCTATTGGACCAAATCTTTTAGAATCTAGTTTAGCTTAAATTTAGCTAATTTCGGCGTGACTGACACCTTCGAATTCGCGCTGCTGCAACGTAACGTTACTTCCGTTATTTCTTCGGTGCCGTGGTCATACGTGGTTGGTCTCTGATTTATTGCTTGCGTGAATCGCGACTCCGTTCCTCGTATTTCCTGCATTCACTGGTCCACAACAGACTTAACACGGACAGAGTGTACAGAGATTTATGGATAGTCCGGTAGGCGACTTGATTAAGGGTATCAAGGTAGATAGAGAAAGTGAAAGAGAAGGATAGATAAGATAGATAAGATAGAAAAGGAGAGGGGGAGAGAGAGAAAGAGGGAGATAGTCTATGAGAATAAGAGTAAAAAATTGGTCCCCGTTTTTTTCACCTTTCCTTTACATTAAGCTTGAGCAGCCTACATAGCCTGGAGGCAAATGAAGCGAGAAAAGTTTGCCCGAGAAAGTGCCGACGATCGTAAGAAAATTTCTCCCCGGGACTAGCGGTAGATCCCCAAAGTAATTTCACAAGACGACAGGCGTTTTGACACGGTCGTAAGACGTGATTTCGCGTAAATCTCGATAATTGATTACGCGCCCATGCACGCGGTCTCCTCCCTCGTGTGGTGGAAGCGCGCGATAACCACCCTCTCCCCTCCCCCTTCTTCCCCGTCCTCTTCAATTTGCGCGCTTCTTCTCTCGCTTTCTTTCCTCAAGTTCTACGCGCGGCTCGATGTTGTTTCACCCTAACGATGCCCGCGAGCTAATTAATTATCGCGCCGGGGCTAAAAGGCTAAGCGCTGGATACCCGTACTGCTCCGACCTGCTTTTCGAAAATCAGCGAGAAACACTTAGACGAAAAATCAGAACGACAGAGATTATAGATCGTATAGAACTATGTACACCCAACGTATATTATACACGCAATATGTAGTATGTAATATGTATAATATGTATCGACGTGCGAGCGTCTCTACTCGAAGCCGCTACCCGCGAGCCGTGTGCATGCCTTATAAATAAGCCTCGAGGAATGTACACGGGATTTAGCGACTTATCAATCGTACGTAGTAGCTAGAAGCGCGTATACTTCTTAAATCTAAAGTCTATTATTTAATTACGGGACATACAGAGGTACGATGTGAATTAATACATAATATATAGCGATAGGAGCGGGAGAAAGAGGATAGAGAAGTATATAGAGAGCGAGAGCGAGAGCAAGCGAGAGAGAGAGAGAGAGAGAGAGAGAGAGAGAGAGAGAGAGAGAGAGAGAGAGAGAGAGAGAGAGAGAGAGAGAGAGAGAGAGAGAGAGAGAGAGAGAGAGAGAGAGAGAGAGAAGAGAGAGAGAGAGAGAGAGAGGGGAGAGTCGAGAAAGAGAAGAGAAACTCAAGTGAAGTAGAATCGCTCTTTTGTGCTTTAAAAAAATCGCGCGGCTAATAATATATGGACTTCCCTGTATGTACACCTATTTACACGTCATTAGACCTCATTACTTCGCGACGGCGTGTCCCGATTACTTGTCTCTCGTTCTAACCCTCCTTCATACGGCACTAGGTCATCGGATTAAGTAGATCCATTCATGAGTTCACTCACGACTACCAATGATCTATGTTCGTCTGCTACAAAACACTGTGGCGTCTCGACAACGATGGATTAGCAGCGTGCGAATGTTTATATTTTATTTAACGTCGCGTATAACCAGTCTCGTTTTCGAGATTGCAATTCGTTGTCGTCGGTGTATTCGGATCTTCGACAGCTGTGATAGTCGGATGGTTTTTTTTTTTTTTCTTAATCTTTTGGCTCAAAACTGTTGTTTTTTTTCAATTCGGCGGCGCGGCAAATGGGAAGAGAATCTTTCTCCGATTTTCTTCTTGCGGACTTACTCGCGTCCGAGTCTTCTGCGTGTCACGCCGTCTCTCGAATTTTCACAGCGTGCGGCACAAAGTTGTCAACGATTCTTAATTCCCTTCCTCGTCGAATTAATACCACTCGATTGGCTCTGATCCGATTTCCGCTTGACGATTTAACGGTGCTACCTCTTCCATCGGCTCTGACAGTATCGGTGATTCGCTTTTACCTGAGTCATCTCGCTCCCGACAGAGCCGGCTTCGTCTTCTGGCAGAGTCGTTGTTTCCGCGTGCGTACGTTTCCCACCCCCGTACTCACTCGAAGCAAATCTGCACGATGGCGAGAATCACGCAGAAACTTTCGAGAGAATAGCGGGACCACACTACACTCTCAGCATCCCTGTCGATCGCGCGTTTTTAACGCTGCTCAGATCGCTCCCTCGCTTTCTCGTCTCTCTCAAGCAACCCGCCGCAAAAATCGGAACTGCAAATCGGACACGCTGTTGAACGACATTATCGGGCGGAGATTCAATTCGCGCACTTCGGCCGGAGCACGATTGGTCTAGAGGGGGCTGGCCAAAACACACGTTATAACTTCTCGGTCTTTCAGCACCCGGTCAGTCAGCACAATTCACTCGAGCGGGCCTGGCTTGCGAGTGGGCGCTCTCCGCGGCATTTGGATACCTCGCGGATATCGACAGTGGGAGTTCAATGTGACAGACAATAAAGCGGCTTGGCGAGGGAGGAAAAATAAAAGTACGAATTACGGCAATTTGCAATTGATATCAACGACACAGTCGCGTGGCGGACTGTCCGGCGGCCGACTCGTCGACTTCTCAGCACTAATTGCGAGGAGCCTCTCGGTAACGTCTCGATCCTCCTCGTGTCTCTTCAGCACCGTGTGCATGCGTGCGTGCGTGCGAGTAGTTCGAGGTTGTCTCGTGGGTGTTTGGGAACGCACTGCAGCCGTGAGGGACGAGCCAGGAACTCGGACTCCCTCTCGTGTCGTTCGGTGGATGGAGACCCTCGCAGGATGTCGGCGGAGAGAGAGTGAGAGAATGTGCGCGCGTGGCTGTGTCTACGTGTGTGTATGAATTCGTGTACCCGTGTGTCTTGTGTATACGTGTGCATGTATATATGACAAGGGGGAGAGCGTGAGGGTGGGAAAGAGAGCTTGCTTGGCTCACTGGAGGCTGACTGTTGGCCCGACCGATCGCTCCGTCCGACGATACCAGCGTCGGGGCGCCGTCTGACGGAGTCGTGGAACCTGCAGCGCAAGCGTCGGGACGCCACCAGCACTCCACGGCACCGTCGCGGACAGTCGACGTTGAACCATCGACCGATCGGTTCGTGACAAAAATATGTAACTACTCCAATCTTAACACGAGTAATGCCGCTTTAAACTTAGATTAGTCATTGTAACTAATATTATAGTCGTTTTTGTATTTTCATAAATCTTGCCACTGTTATTTTTACAATTTTCAATATACAACTTCGGATTATTACACCGCGTGTCCAATATCCAATGATTACTGTCACGTTTTCTCGTGAACAAAACTACGAGTTGTTTTCCTACACGCGATTGTAAATCCTCTTGCTATACGTTTTTAATATAAAATTGATTATCTTTGAGCTAAAGAAGACATTACTTTCACACAATATTTATCAGTACTTTGTGTGTCGGTATCATTAATCTCTTTTCGAAAAAATATACAATTTTTAATAAATTACTTTTCATAAATAATAAAATTTTAATCCATATTTGATCAGTTACAAACTTTGGCGTTGGTCGCGGAAAATAAGAGCACTAGAAAAATATGCGATGTAAAAAACAAACTAAAATATTACATAAATAAATATTACATAAATAAATATTCAAATGCAAAATATTAACTACCTCATGTTTTGCTAGATTATGAGTATTGATGTTGCCATTATATGATTCGCAAGAATAATATGGTAGAGAGAAAAATAAATTGGCTTTCACGTAACGCGTATAGTATATAAAATAAAAATATAATTTCAAATTTTATGAATTTACCTTGCTTTGTAAAAAAAATTATAATGCTAATAAAAAGCATGATTTATGTCTGAATTATATTTGAGTTATACCAAATGTTCAATGATTTCAGTTATTAGAAAAAAAAAATGAAACAGATATATAAAAATTTGCTATAAAATCATGACAGAGGAAATAATATGAAAGAATAGCTACATCACTTTCGATAAGGCAGAAAGTCCGCTTACAATTTTTTCGCTCAATTAAACACATTCAAGCGCGGAATGCAATAGACCTTTAATAGCAACACTAAAGTGAAATTGCTATTTTAGACTTTTTGTCATTACCAGTCGATCGCATAACTACAATCTTTTAAAAAGACAATTAACTTTAATGAGAAATAAAGATCTTACATTACTTTAATTTTATAGAAGTTAATTAACTTCGATATATTTATTATATATATATATATTACTTTTGCATACAATCGTTTTCAACTCACATATACAGGCGGTTTATTTTCTTTATACATTATTTGTGTAACTGACACAAATATATTTAAACTCCTTTTGCAACTCGCTCTTTTGATTTGTCAAAAGTGAGCTTTCATTGCTGCATAACGAAGCATGGATACGACATTCAAATGCATATATTTCAAGTACATCAAAATGCACCCAAGCTTTTCACGTAAGCGCAAATATTCTCGAATTTATCGACTTTTGTATGCTCCATTTTTGCTAATATCAGTGAGTCCTGTGATAAACGGGAACTTAACTTTGAAATTTACACGCTGCAAATTCATGAGTGATGTGCTTTCGTTTTAAACTGCAAACTCATGTTTTGTGCATTATCTATCGCGAAAAGCACGTTTGATCGCACGGAAACTACATGCGCGATTCTCTTATGGAAACTATGCTCGCAGATAATCTCAGTAGCTCATCCGAGTGCATCCCTTCTTATAATCCAATTCCGTCGAAAAGAAAACTAGGTATTATTTTATCAAATAAATATTGGATCCTTCTGCATTTCTCTTCAATAAAAGTTACTTTGATCGTGACTAGCTCCCGATTAGGAAGGAAAGACTTTCTGCTGAAAATGGACAGTCAACAGAAAGATCGCCGTTAAAAACTATTATTGAGAAGAAACTCGATGACAACTTTCTGATTCGAGAGAATCTTTAGCGGAATTTTTCAACCCGCAGAAGACATTTCTTTCCCACGAAAAAGTGACATCTCATTCCAAATAACGACGGATGCTATCACATTTTTACGGATATTAGTTTTAATTAATTGCAGCTTATTTCTGTAATTCACTACATTATTATATTATTTCTTCTTTCGAAAGTATTTGATATTCTCGAAAAATCTAAATAATCTTACCTAAATAATGAAAGATCACCGATATCGTAAATTCTTCCACACACAATGTTCGAGATATTTTTCCATATATTTTATATTCGCGAGGGATCGAATATCTCATTTTAGCATTGAGAGATTACTTCAACTCCTGCGAATGGGCGTAAAAAATGTGTATCTCCTACTTTGAATTACTACACTGTATATCCGACAGCCATAAAGATTGAAAAAATAGATCCAACTTTTTCCTTCTTAAAATAGCCATTTCTATATTTCTTTTAATTCACCCCTGCTGTCTGCATTGATATAAATCATATTACTCGGATATATCCAATAACGCATTGCGTTTCTGTATATTCCTCGAGTTAATGCATTGCAAATGCAGCTTCTGCCGATGGATTAATTAGAGAACTTTGGAATTATCAAACTTCCCACTGGCTTATTGATCATCGAAGCAGATAACAAGCCGCAGCATGACATTGTTTATGAAAAAAGAAACGTCTTTGTTATAATCATAAAGCTCGAAGAATGACATTTAATTTGTGATAAAATGAGTTAGCAATAGTTTGAACAAATAGTTCAACATTTTTTAAACTTTATATACAAATTGTTTAATTAAATATTTGTGATAAAGTTTCTAGTTAGACGAAAATCCGAGCTTGGAAATATTTGCACAATCAACAAAAATATTAATATCAGTCAATATCAATTAATAACGGATAATCGGTTGTTTTTAATTAGAACAAATAAGTGCTCATTAATAATATAATTCACAGCAAATAATTATTCATAAATAATTATAACGATCATCCGATAAACGAGCAATTAATTAGCGCACTTTGCCGACTTGGAGAGTCATTTATTCGAGGATGTAACCTTAATCGAGAGGCTTACAATTAGCGTATCGGCTGTGCGTATCAGAGAACGGAAGAGTACAACGCGTATTCCCTTTCTTCTCGGCCGCGTCAATGTTGACTCGGCGCCGTTTGCTCGTCTGTCATGCTTTAGTACG